AAATCGTACATACTTGTAGTTGTTCATATTTGTTTCGATCGTGATTAAAGGCATCGCCACCAGTGTCTTCCATATTGGATCCCTGATCTTCAGTTAAAGTGACTGCATTATTCTGTGTCTCGCACAATTTCAGGAAAATTTCATCCAATGACGAGGATTGAAATTTCTCCAGTAATTTTTGCGGCGCCGATTCAGTTAACAATTTACCATGTCTCATTAAACTGACCTGCGTATCATCCACAATATACAATATTATGCACGATCAAATTTGTAACATTTACAATTAGGAAGAACACAGCGTTCTCGAAAAGAAGAAATAGTTCTTGCTTCAGAAGAAAACCTAGCTTATATAGGAATTTCAGCGACTTCTTTATATAAACAACTAATTTTTAACTCGGTCCTTTAAGATATAAATCAATTTGAAACATAAACGCCATTTAGGACCTGGCATAAGTGGTGGCCAATTAAAGTACTAACAAGTAACACTACCCAATTGATACTCGCCGATTTGAATGAAACTTAGCATACTTATTAAACACCGAAAAATATTAAATACTTGTTTTTTTGTTTCGGCTAAATACGCTTTTTAGGGGTAGAAAGGACTCCTCAACCCCTGGAGGTGGAAACGGTTATGGCTAATTATTTCTGAAGCGATACTTTTTCTGAAAAAAGTGCTTAGGACCAAAATTGTAGAATTCAAAGTGATGCACTTGATGGCGACCTTGAAGTCGACCTTGAGGTCGATTTTCAAGGTCATTTGAAAATTATTTCATGTTTTTCAAAGGGAGTAATTTACTTTTCATCCCGAGAATCGATAGAGCGTAAAATTTTACATTCAGAACGTTGATGATTTGTAAATAAAACAAGCTTCTGCAATTTAAAATTGTTCATTGTTCCAACCAATTAAGGCAATATCAGTCAATAATTCGATCAATAAAGGAATTAAAAGTTAATTATTCATGAAAATAAGGCAAGATGTGATCGAGATCCAGCCAGTGAAGGCAAGATGTGATCGAGATCCAGCCACTGAAGGCCAGATGTGATCGAGATCCAGCCAGTAATGGCCAGATGTGATCGAGATCCAGCCAGTGAAGGCACAAGATGTGATCGAGATACAGCCAGTGAAGGCAAGATTTCATAATTTCTTTTCATAGTCCGAGTATAAATTCCATGATAATTGGTATTATTCTTTATATTCATAGCAATAATCAGGAATAGCTTTATCTTTTATCGCAAAAAATGCTCCATACACAGACTATGAAAAGAAATTATGAAATCTTGCCTTCACTGGTTGGATCTCGATCACATCTTGTGCCTTCACTGACTGGATCTCGATCACATCTGGCCTTCACTGGCTGGATCTCGATCACATCTTGCCTTCACTGACTGGATCTCGATCACATCTGGCCTTCACTGGCTGGATCTCGATCACATCTTGCCTTATTTTCATGAATAATTAACTTTTAATTCCTTTATTGATCGAATTATTGACTGATATTGCCTTAATTGGTTGGATCAATGAACAATTTTAAATTGCTTGTTTTATTTACAAATCACCAACGTTCTGAATGTAAAATTTTATGCTCTATCGATTCTCAGAATGAAAAGTAAATTACTCCCTTTGAAAAACATGAAATGATTTTTAAATGACCTTGAAAATCGACCTCAAGGTCGACTTCAAGGTCGCCATCAAGTGCATCACTTTGCTTTCTACAACTTTGGTCCTAAGCACTTTTTTTCAGAAAATGTATCGTTTCAGAAATAATTAGCCATAACCGTTTCCACCTCCAGGGGTTGAGGGGTGCTTTCTACCCCTAAAAAGCGTAGTTAGCCGAAACAAAAAAACACGTATTTAATATTTTTCGATGTTTAATAAGTATGTTAAGTTTCATTCAAATCGGTGAGTATCAGTTGGGTAGTGTTACTTGTAAGTGAATTCATATACATCGTCTTTTTCAATCCTGTCCTGCGTGCCGGATTGAGGGAGGTCCCAGTTTCGAATCTGGCTGAGGTAATATGTTTTACAATAAGAATTTTAATTCACTACAGGGAAGAGTTAACGTAATAATGCTAAGTATAGCATTAAAATTAGCCTAGTTTACATTGTGCACTTAATATGAATAACAAATAGTAACAACTAGTAAACTGGTTCACGCATTGGCCGATCAGTTCAAGTACTCTATTTCATATCAAGTGCACGATGTAAACCAGGCCATAAAAACATTTCTCCAAAATTTTTGGCGCTTTCTTTAAAACGAAATTCGCTATTTTTTAAATACAGTCGTAAATATTATTAAGACAAATCTAATGGCGACTCACTGTATTAGCCTGTTTAGCCTCTTCGATATAATGCGTCGTCATCAATACGGTGGTGCCTTCCTCCTGTGTTAGTTTGATCAGATAAGCCCAAATGCTGTAAAAATGAACGTCCAAACATTTTCTTAAAATTTTGTGCTTATCATGTCTAAAAAGGAGCCAATTCTACTTGCTTTTCTCTCAAAATTGGGTCCAAACCTACGGTGGGTTCATCGAGAATTAGAAATTCGGGCTTATGCATCAATGCGGCGACAAAGGAAACCCTTCTTCGTTGACCTCCACTCATGTTCTTCACCAACTGATTTGCTGGAGGCAGTTGGAACAATTCCGAGAAAAACCTATGTCTCGTTTCTTGGAAATAACATGGATAAACTGGGGTTGTTTAAAATTGACATAGTAGAATATCTTTCGAGCAAGACAAAATTAGAACCGCTTGAAAGACTTACTTAAAAGTAAAAGTAAAACTTGTCAGAATTTACATGATATTTTGCGCGCAACAACTACAAGTTTTCTTATCCCATGTACCTATTCGGTATCTTACCGATCTCCTTATCGTCAAGCCCATTGATCCTGCCGAAGTAATAAAGAGCATCGCTTGTAGAAAACAGTTCGACTAATGAGGTATCCTGCGGCATATAACCCACCCGAGGCCCTGGAATTCCGCAGCCCACACTGTCCGGAGATCCCCCCAAGACCCACATCTCTCCACTGTCGAGATAACGTAATCCGACGATACAGGACAACAGGGTTGTCTTGCCACATCCGCTGGCCCCCAACAGCGTGTATCTGTTTGATGAAAATATTTCGTTTACGAGATACTGCTTGGGCCTATGTAAATTTTAGTATATGTTACATTACACAAAAATTTTTAATAATTGGAATACTATTGCAACAGCAAAATCCGGAGACTAAATCAAGTAAAAAAAGTCCTGTACTACTTTTCCCTCCGACAAACAGTTATTGAGATATCATAAGCTAAATATTGAAAAAGTTATGAATTTTCTCTTGAATATCTCAAAAAGTATTAAGCAAATAAAAAATGTTTCAGACAAAAGTTCATATTAATTGGTAGAATAAGTTAGTATATTAAACCATAAGGATTTTATTTAAAAAATTGAAGATGACCTTCACGTAATCTTCAAGCAAGTATTCAAGGTTAAATTCATAACACCATCTTATTTCCCCCTCGAAACCCAACAACTTTGGCTGAGGTCATTTTTTGCTAGCCGTCTTCCCCAAAAAGATATATGCGTGGATCATTTAAAATGTGACACCCTATAAACCATTCCCTAAAGAGGTTGCTATTTTACAAACGATCACAATTTAAGCAATTGATGAAGGTATGCGTGAAAGAGCGTGATGACAGACAGTTCAGGCAACTTCTATCAAAAGATGAAGAAAGTAGTATCAGTTATCCATAAATGACATGTTAGATGTAGGTTCAGGTTTGTGGAACAGTATTTAAATTTGCACAAGTAATCTGAAGTATTATATTAATCAGTAGCAATTCAATCTTCACTGCATTGTTTTCTTCCTTATAGCGAGCATCTGGGATTCTTTTGATAAACTCGTGACATTTACGTGCAACCTTATTCGTCTAAACGGAAATTAATAGGAAGACGAATAATGTTTTGTGTTGACAAGACAAAGAATGGTTACATACACGGAACCGTTTGAAACCGTCATATTCAATCCGTCGAGCACCAACTCTTCTTTCCCATAACGCTTCACAGCGTTCTTTACAACCACAATGTTTTGCTGCAACATTCTGCGTTTGCGAATTGGTGATGTCAGTCCTATCAAACTGTAACAAATGTTTTTTAGTGATTAGTTTTTTAAAAAGTAGTAAGAATAGAATTCACTAGGTAGTCATTTTTAATAGGAAAACATTTTTTGGAATATTTTATTTTATTTTTTAATTGTAATTTATGTTATTACACATTGACTATTTTATTGCCTTCCGACGCACTGTTGGTATTGGTTTATACAATGCCTTGCCTACGCCTTTACATATACTCTTTGAACGTCAATCAGTGCATTATCACTGAAAACAGTTGTATGTCACTGAATTATTCACTCCTTTGAAAACTTTTTGGCTGGACTTTATTTAAACCAACATTTAATGGTCTCTGCATTTCAAAATTGATATAAAACATAAACGAAAGTATACTTGCTTCTTTTTATTTCCAGGCCCTTCCACCGATTCAATTAATCACGAGAACACCATATTAATGAAACAATATCATGTTTTACCACGTTACAATAAGATATTCGCAAATTTTCCAACATGTGCACTACGGTCTTGTACTATGCCGATAGCTATTGCTGCGTTCCGAAATTTACTGCCAGTACTGGAAATCTATAGTTTACGTGACGTATATTATAGGTTTCAACAGTGGCAGTAAATTTCGGAACACACCCGCCGTCCGCCGTGTCGTGAGTGAGTGTGACGACCCTAATTCTTGTCAACGGATTACATACAAGCGTTGGCAAACCTGTCAAGATTATTAGTGTAAAAATTCAAAATTTCCATATTTTTCCCAGCCTTGGGAAAAAAACGGTAAAAAACCCGGTTTTTTTCCGAAAATGTCCGGGTTTTTTTCAGTACTCAC